TAGTCGCACAAATGAAAACTACTTTATGTCTAGTGCCTTTTTCCATAAGGAGAATCTATGTCCGACTTATTGTTTTGAAGTAACAGTATCTTTACTTGAGTGCCTCCTCATCTTCAGATACATCTTCACTTATTTTAATTAGCAGAAATAATTGTGTATATGCATTTGTTGGCTCGAGTGCAGGCTCGCGGCCCGTCTCTCATGTTTGGAATGGTTAAGTCAGCGTATGGATCATTACGCACTGCTTGGGTATCTGGTTTCTGGTTCACATCTGGTCCTGCTTTAGAAGCCCCAATGCCGGCCCTCTGATCTGCGCACACACTTACACACATTTTGGGTTTAACTGCCTTTGGGGGACACTGCATTGACTTGTATTCATTCAATTTAGGTTGATCCAAACCATAACTTACTAACTTACTACTTGTTTAAGCAAATTCCCAATCAGAACCATTTATAACCCATTTAAATGATTTTGTTGATCTAAATACATTTATATTTTTCTGTTGAAGGCAGGTCCCATGAATTGAGTATGCACAGATTTGATAAGTACCCACAAGCCGGTTTATGCAGCGTCTTGAGCCGTTGTATGACAGTATGAATGTTTGAGTGAGAGAAAGGGAATGTTCCTGCTTCCACTTGAATTTAAATGAAACTGAGAGAAACTCGCACTAAGTATTTTTCTCTGCTGCTTCAAATGTCCTAACATTAGCACAGCTGAACAAATACTGTCAACCCTCTGCCGAAAAGCTACTAGTGCTGACTCATTCTCTCGCAGACATTTCACAGACAAGTTTCCAGAGAAAAATAGCAAACCACTTCTTTGGGGAAATATTTAACCATATTCATTCTCGCTGGCCAAACATGAATCTGAAAAATTATTTGAGTCAGCCGTTACAATGTGTGTGCATTTAGAATAAGGATAAGTGGTGAATTTGAAGCCTGGGTGTTTTCACAAGTCCTCTTTACATTAATAATGGATTCTTACTCATTCTCAGGAGAGTTTTCACATACCGTACAATTGCCAATGACAATGGACAAACGTACATTACCAAAAATAACGTTAACGATGCCAGAGTAGAGTTTGGGCCACACCATTGCTTACTTTACTTCTGTTTTATCATTACAGAACACTCAACACTGTTCTCATTTTTCACCATTTATGCATCTGCTTTTCATAAAGCAGATTTGTTATTTTTTTGCTTGTACATGTTTTCATTTGTATAATAGCAAAGCCTCTGCCCTTCACCTTTGTAGTAGCAGCTGTAAATCTTCACATGTGTCAGAGGGAGGTGTGCCCTTCATAAGTCCAATGCCAGTGGGCATGTGGGATTTTTAATGGACTGTAAATCACTTTGTGTTACACCATTTGCACGAGAAGTAAATAAATTTGATTGATGGATTGATTGATTGATCTCAGAGTTCAACGCTGACATTTGCCGAAATGTTTGCCTCTCAGTGCGGTCTTGATGGTGGCTCAAAAATACGTTCAAACAAAGAAAAAGTGCTTTATTTTTTACTTACAAATGCAATGTCCTTTGAGTTCTAAATATTGTCCCTTCTTTACATTTCTGGCGGTATTGTGGTTCATCCCTGAACATTGAATGAGTCTATTCTATGAATATTTATAATTCCATTCTATGTTGTGACCTGGAGTTTGAGAAGTTCAACTTGGCTTTGTTGAACCATTCACAAAGTCAGATTGCATTAAATGAAGTGGTTGGAAGTAAGGTCATGTTAAATGCAAAGGAATATTGTGAAGACCGGTTGATGACGGCTGAAGGCTGTCGTTGTCGTCTTCAAGGTAGGAGTTGGACAAACACGAGTCCTGCTTTACAACTTTCAGAATAGCTTAGGCACTTTTCTCACTCCGTTTTTTTAGGCTCTTGATCTTTCTTATTGCTCATTTCTTCTTGTGCCTTGCCACTCTTGCCTTTCATCCCCCCCTCTGCCTCTGCCCCCACCCCCCTGACTGTTCAAATATTATTTCTACCCCTTCTATTGCCTTCTCCCCACTTTCTTTATCTTGTCATTGCCTGTCAGTGGGGATTCTATCTACGCCGAGTGTTGTGTGTGTACGTGCCAACACATTGAGACTGAGATACACTTAAGAGCTCATTGATTTAAAAATACCTTCGATATTGGTGGTCCCCTCCTGCAGATTCGTTCAGCGGCTTATCACAACACAGGCGTAGACATCCACGTGGAGGAGATATGCATAAACCAAAGCTCCACTCCAAAGTTTTCTTCTTAAACTTTGTGATTGACCTAGTTAGCTTGTCGTTTTGACAAGTTGTCTGTTTTGACACGACATCCTCCAGTGTTTAGCAGCATCCATTCTGCCTATCACACACTCACATTGGGAATTTGCACGCACACACACTTAAAGATAAATCATGCAAACATCTGAAAAATTGGCAGGAAGTGAGGCTTGTATGTGCAGCGGGTAAGTGAAATGACTTCCATTTGGAACAAGAAATTACGGCTGGGTCAATCTTTTGTACGTCTGAACATGTTTGTGCTTTTCCGCTCTGACGTCCGTGAAATCATCGAGCCCAGGTTATTTTTTATGAAGTTTTAATTTTGGCTTGGTCCATGCTGCGTAGCCGTTTTGATTTTTTTTCCTCCTCATGTCTCGTGTTTAAAAACGAGGGTGCGGCGATGAGTTTCTTTACCTCGCGCCAAATTATTTGAGTTGCTCTATAACCATCAGTCAGCTTATTAATAGTGCCTTGCAAGAATATGAACAAAAGGGTGTTTCTCTGCCAATGGATGAAAAGGAAAATCAATTCACGTCACTCGAGAATTATTATTTTTGTCCTAGCCTTTTACTGACCTTTTCAAAAATGTAAAATCTAATTCTGTATTAAACCCGCTCTAGTTAACTTTACTTTTGGCATTTCCTTCTGTTGGACTCTTTACATGACAGAAGTTTTCTCCTCGCTATCTGCTCAATACATTTGGTCCATCTGCAGTAGCCACGCAATGTTTGTTTTAGTTTTTTCGGCTTTTGTTCTCATGTGATACGTCATGTTTAGTGCGTTTAGTAAGCCCGGCTGCTGACAACCAGAGGTGAGGGGTGAAAAAGCCACGTTAACTCAATCAATCCCCGCGGACAGTTACAAACGAGCGCTCAACTTGGGTCAAAACAATCTGTGGATCATGTCGGCCTGACGTCAGCCCATGAAGAAAGGGAGAGGAGAGTTAACGATATTACTGCATCAAATTAGACAAATTGCATTAGATTAAAGGCATAAGTACAGGGAGGATGTCATTTTTTGCATTCCAAATTTGATGCATTATTGATGGGAAGGTTATGGTTTATGTAACTCTCATATTATCCTCACTTAGATGTTTGAAGGAAAAGTAAACTGGTTAAATGTGGTTCAATTGTGGTGGATCAATCACACAACTTTCCGCTATGTATTATCAGAAAACATGTTATCTTTTGGTCCTCCCCTTTTCACTTTTGTTTCTGAAAATTAAAAAATGTGACAAATATAGATGCATGTGAAAACTACTGCTTAGAGATCGATTAACTATGGTGTTTACTACTCAGCCTATTTGTTTGTAGTTTGAAATAGGTGCCCCAGCTTTAATTAAGACATATACTAATACAAAGTCAGTATTTGAATTGGTCAAGAATGCCTTATGGAAGCAGGTTTATACTAATGTGCGCCCCCTTCTTACTATAATGTAGGCAATAACGTTTTTTTTCTAATGACTTGATTAATGTAAGTAATTTTGAATTCCTTATTTAAGACACACTATTCGGTTTTACAGTGTACATTAGAGCAGCCAGGGTCTTGTTCTATTTCCCGGGGCAAGGATGGAATATAACTTGAAGATTTAGTGAGACGTTATTGCTGTCAAAAGTCCAGACTCATATTAATAACCTATTTGGCTTAAACCATGCAGTACATATTGGCAGATAAATGGCCAATTAAAGTGACCTTGATCAGAGCCTGGGCCCGCAAAAGCACATTCTAAGTCAACATAAAGGAGAAACAAAAAGGCTAGTGGGTAAAATAAAGAACAATTTCTTTTCTGCCAAAGCTATGGAAGCAAAACGGCGCATGCACACACTTAAAGGTGGGTAATTAAGGAAGGTCACCACGGTAACAGACAAGCGCAAGCAATCAGCGGACGACACTGTATGCTTCAAGAAGGCATAAACAACAGCTTCTATAAGTGTACAACCATCCACCTCCCACAGCACATATACTGAAGGCTCTAACGAAGGTACATAAGTGCTGGCTGCTGTAATTTGGCCTTCAGATTATATTGTCCCTATAATAGACAGTGAGGCCAGTGAGATTTCCATTATATTGCTTTTGATTATATATTTATTAATCTGTGTGTGAATTCATTTGTATTTATTAAAAATGTCAGGATATGTTGCTAACATAATTAATTAAATTAGTGTCATTCTCTTTTGCCTTATATTATCAGGAAAACTTGAGTATTGTACAAACTCTGTACAAAATGTCTTGATTCCCAAACTTTCTATATTATAATGTTTTATTCATAGTAATATTTTTTGTTTGTCACATTATATGCTTTATTATTGACCTTTTTTCTAAACATGTTTGTGTATTATTTCAAGTAATTATTTCTTCGAATACTTGTAAAGGAGTCAACATTTTCATACAGACAAGAACCAAAACAGTATCACTATCTACCTGGTCACGGGGATCTAGTATGTATAGTAAGATAAAATGTTTTCTAATGAGATAAAGACTTCATGTTGTGAATCTTTCTGTTGTACAAACAAAATGTATTATTTATGAAACAAAACGTTTGGTTCCCCAGCTTTGATAGAAAATAATAAGGTATTTTTTCTCACCCCAATCAAGAAATTGTTGTTTTTGGTCGATACATACCAAACAAATGCATAATTTATTTATGTAACACCTTCACATGTAAAATGGTTGTGTATAAGCTTGTTAAAGATTCAGCCTTTGACAACTATATGTGCAGAGAGAGATGAGCTCAGAGCCAAGATGGCCGCCCGGCACAGTGAGCACATTCACCTGGAGCACAGTGCGGAGCGACTGGAGGCTGGCTTGGCTCTGAGCCACCAGGAGCTGCACACCTCACACCTGGAGGTTCTGCATTGCTATTTTAACTACGCTTTTCTTAGACACAAATAATGAATCATGGATGTGTGCTGGCTTTTGCGTTTGCTTATATCCAGGTTAACAGCCGAGACCAGATAATTTTGCAGTTGAGAGGTGAAATGAAGATGGCTGAACAACAGCATCAAATGGCGCTGGAACAGGTAGAGCAATATTATTACTCACTTACATATTATTAGTTTTCTCTTTTCCCTAGTCATATCTTCTTACGTGACATGACAAACATATGCTATATTGAACTATAAGGATGGTTGAATTATTGCTTAAAAACCCTATAATTAAATTGCATTTGGCCTTAAGAATAATAGAAATGCACTCTAAAACACTACAATGAGTTTGTTCCATTGCCCAGTCCTCCAGCTATTTTCTACCTCGTACATTACAGTCTTTTAGATACTTGCGATACTTGTTTGTGTATTGAAACAAGTTTGCAGTTCTTTGTAATCCCCTGCTTTACACCCACATAGCCTTTCTACACACACACGATCACACACACACACACTCACACACACCAGGGGAGTGTCGACCAGGCCGTTGTACTGTTGGAAAGCAAACAGCACTATTAGAGTTGTGGGAGGTACAGAATCTTGCTCAAAGGCTCCTCAAAAGTCAGAGCAAAGGAAAGAAAAAGCAGTAGTTACTCCTTCATGCCCACTATGCCCACACGCTCCCAACTGGTCTGCGGATTTAACATAGAAACTGACTCATACCGGTGTGCAGTTTTTACAGTAGATGTGTGCGATATTATATTTGGTATGACAGTATATTGATACAACAGCTTCTCTTAACAACATATAACTTTTCTGGGTAAGGTCTCGCTGAAGCATTTATCTAAATTAATTTCAACTATCATGTTTTCTTGTTTTTATTGTAATTATGGCTCTATTACATGGACTTAGCTGCTTTGTTTAACTTTTGAGGCAAAGCAAAGCGTTTTATAGCCCATCGCTTACATGTGGGTCAGGTGAAGAAGATTAGATTAAGATTATGAGATTCTTTATTCGTCCCACAGTGAGAAAATGTCAGTGTTGCATCACCAGTTACAACTGAACAATAACTCTTTACTAAATAATATATAAAATAATAATCTCTAGCTTGAAGAAGAATCAAATATAACATCTCTATCTTTAGCATAATGTGTACACAAACTCTGACTTTAGAATAAAACAGACGTATAAAATCTCTATCTTTGGCATAATAAAAAGCAGGTATAAAGTAGTGTGTATGCTAGTGCAAGTATTATATAGTTGTTAGTATACAGCTGTACAAGTTAGCAGCATGAGGGTCTGGGACAAAATGACTAAGTAGAGTGACACATGCGGTTCTGTATTGCACATTCTCACATCATTAAAGTTATTATTGCCCAGATAAGTAAAGTGACCGTGACACCTGTGGTTCTATACTGCACAATATTCTTATAAACTTAAATAGTTAATAGTTAATAGTAATAGTGAAAAAAGCAATATTGTCTAACCATCAAAGTCCGCTCCTTCCTTCATAAAGTTGTTCTGTTCCAAAATAAAGAAAAAAGGAGAAAAGCAATACAAGTCCAAACAACACACTGAGCTTTCCACTGTTTTCCCGGGTCGACATGGCATTTTAACATGGGTCAAAAGACACAGCTCTGCACCTTTTATGTCATTTATTTCAGATTATTTGTCTTCGCTATTGGATTTCTGGGTTACCTCTTGGAGTGTCTGTTCATACCTGTGGCCCTCCGTGAGCGTTTACCCCATTCGAGGCACTATTCACTGGACTGTGTTTGTGTATCGTTGTCAGATGGAGGCTCTGGAAGGGGAAGTTAGTCGCTTGAACCTAAAGGTGAAAGGACACCAAGAGGTGGCCTGTCAGTTAAGCGAAGAGGTCAGGAGAATGGAGGCCCTGGAGCTGCTGCAGAAGGAGGAACAACAGCAGCTACACGCTCAGCAGTGTTCGGGCCATCCGCAGGTAAAGGGCCAGCCTCCTCAAGCACCTCACCTCACTACAGGTCCCATCATCTGGACCTGGTTTGATGTGGATCGCTGGGGCTGGGAGTTGGGTCTTCACAGCTGACTGAAGCAGAACTTGTCCGGTCTCTACAGAGTTCTCCTGAAGAGGCCAGGGTTCACTGAGCTCAGGCAGTGCAAGGAGATAGAGAAGATCCTTTATTTGCATGTGTCACTCAGCCGTGCCTTGATCCATTAGTGGAAATCTAATAAACTGTGTTATCCATAAAAATAGCAGTGGAGTAATATAAGATGCATTTACTACATCTTTTGTGAGCAAAAACCACATGCTCTTCAAACACATTTAAATCAAACAAGCGACTCTCTGCTCTCAGACAAGGCCTATTATGTGGAATACATCATCTGAATTAGAAGTTTGAATGAGGCCTTTGTTTGTCAGCTGCTCACATCCAGTCAAACAGGAAACAAAGAGCGAGAGAGAGAGACAGAGAGAGATAGGCAACGCATTCTGCTAAAAAGATAAATAAAGTTATTATCAAGGCGCAGTGATTTGGACAGTCATGTGACATTTGTAATTACTCAAAGTGCAGGCTGAATGAGGTTCGTCAGGTCAGGAGGGTCAAAGCGATGTGTTTTCCATCATATTTAATGAGAGTTATTTGTTTCCTCAAAGCACACGCTCCCCATTATGGTCACAAGAAAACCATGGTGTTCTTATTAAGCCTTGTTATGAAGCCTTTCATCCAGCAAAAGAAAAATCTACCATTACTGTGTGACTATGGCTGAGTGTGTACAATAATTGAAGTTATTTTATACAGTGAAGGTATAGGACTCGTTTTTCAGAAGTCCATGCAGTGTGCGCCCATTTCATATTTGGAAATGAATTCACTTCTGTAACATTCAATTAAAATTGCTTCACAAGGTTGGTCCTCTCACCTCTTACTTCTGTCGTGAGTCTAATTTCCTACAGTCATGCTATCATCACCCAGTGTTAGCTCGCACTGGGCCTTGGCTAATCCAGGCTAAACCAACTGCAGCGAACCACTGAAATCTAACTAGTTGGCTGTCATTAGTTTTAAAGCCACGTGTTCTGATCCAGATTACTGCTGGATTATTGTGGATGAAGTTAAGATGAGCGTTAGAGCGGGCTTAACATTTTGAACCTCTCTCCCTGGAAGGTGTGCTGCAATGGGATTCTGTATGTAACTCCAGGATTAAGCCCGGTTTCACTGCCTGGGTTTTCCCTTCATTACGGCTGTGGTTTCCTCACTGACACAGAATATACTGCAATACTCTGGGAACAACACATTTTTGAAATACTTTTATGCTGCCTGAACTATTTCACATGTGTTGGGTATCCTCTGTGTGAGCTGGAATTGAATAGATAATAGATAAGTCGTCTTTTAAAGGGAACCTAACATGCATAATTGACCTTTTATTTTTATTATACTTTGTCATTGACTGACTCAGTTGTGTGTTTTGTGTTGTTATGCATGCATGTTTGAAGAATATATTGCCTCCGACCTGGCTCCTCTGATGTGGCGTAAAGAGGCGGAGCGCATACAGACAGGACTGAATATGAAACTGCATGGACTCCTTTCTTTTGTCTCATTGTTTTTGCTCAATATTAAATGTGATGATGGATGAATCATGGGTGTCATAGATTATCACCACTGTACAGTATGTAGGAGACAAAAGCAAAGTATGTTTTCTTTATCTCTTGTATTTAAGGCCAATACAAATCAATACAGACAAACAACAGAAATATAAGCATACCAAAAAACACAAAGCAAGGACAAAAGGGACAAACAAAGACACTAAAGAAAAGAAAAAAACAAAATATGTATAATATTATGTTTTTTTTTTTTTTTTTTCTAAAGCTGAGGTCTTTCAAACCACAATACAAACTATAATCCAGTTTTGTTCTATCTATCTACTTAGGACCACTCTCACTCTGCCCATCAGCAAAGGTTAGCTACCCCAGAATTAAAATCCTTGTTATAATTATTGAATTGAGATTTTTAATGTTATAAGTCATGTTTGAGTATGAAGTAGTGAATAGTCGTGTATGGCTGTTTGCGTTCTGTACATTCTGCCGTAAAGTCATTTTTACAAATAATCAACTCCTATTTGCCCTCACTTCAGAGGCCAAGAAAGCATCCTGCACTGTAACCTCAAGACACTACTGTTCCAAATGCACAGAAAGCTCTGCCATCCACATAATTCAGATATCCTGAAATGAGCGAAAGAAGAGTTGAGAGTCCGTCTGCAAACTCGGCGCTCGGATGAAACATAGCCATTTTTTAAACAAAACTACGCCACTGCTTTTTAGAAAGGTTCGCGGGGTGCAAGGACAAGTGGGAGTTTTAGAAAAGCTGTAACGCAATTCAAAGCAACAGGTAAACAACAAATGTTAGCTTATTTGTCCTGCACAGATTGTGGAGAAGAGCATGTTTACAGCAATTAGCCGTTACTTTCTGACCACTGAAAGATCAATTTGTCATTCAAGTCAAAGCAGTAAAACATGCTCAGTATGTTTACATGGGAGGAGAGAAAACCGGTTTACTTGCCCAGTCCAATTTAAATCGATCAAGCAAAACGCATGGAAGCTCATAGCACTTCGATTGGGGTGTGAAAGTCCAGTCCATTTGGCATATCTGGCCTTTTGTAGTCCTCGATAGTAAATAAGGTGCTCCAGATTTAAAGGAATCATTCAAATCTACTTTTCTCGGCTTTTGACCATGTTACAGTTGTTTTCCCTTATAAAAGTAACAACAATGTTCCTGCAGGTGTTCAAAATAAGAAAAAGTAGTTTTAATCTTAGAGGTTTGCTTCAGTTGGAAACAAGAAAATCCAGAACTAACTAAGATGTGTGCCCGTCATTGGAGTAAAAATGTGGAATGATGTTAACGATTATCTTAAGTTAATTAACTATCTAATTTTATCAACAATAAAAATTACCTTAAAATGTGACATGGTTAAGTCATACTTACAATAATAAAATTTATAATACATTCATAATAATGAAATAAAAAAGTGATCAAAAAAATATGTTGTTCAAGAATATACGTGTTTGTGTTTAAGTGGCTAATGTGCCGCCAGGATGGGTTTACATAATTTGCTTCAGCCCAATCCTTTTTTGGTTAAAATACAGTCCGTGAATGTACTATCTGTTATTAATCAAACAATTGACCAACATAATTGTTTGAATTCAAAAAAGTACATACAAAATAACACAAGGCTAAAACACAGAAAACACAGGCTAGTTGACTTTAGATGCTAGAGAAGACTAGCCTGACTACGCTGTACAAAAACTAAATAATCATCTTGAATCTAAGTGGGCTCTTATTTAAAAATGGTGTGTAAAATGCATGCATAACGTATCAAATCAAGCCAAATCTGTGTTTTATCAATGAGAACCCTTGACCTGTGCATTGGACCTGTAATTCTCACAGAGCAAAAAGAGACTCCTATCATTCAATTGCAATTTATTGTCATGAAAAGCATGTGGTCACCACGTTATGGCCAATTTATTCATCTCTTTTTGTTTTTTAGCTGAAAGAGTACCAAGATGCAAGCCAGGCCATGAAAGATGAACTTGTGGAGATAGAGCAGTGCTACCAGGAGAAGGCTGAGCAGTGGGACAGAGCTCAGGAGGCTCTGGAACGCTTAACAGACGAACTGCAGACGCTTCAGGCCCAAGTGGACATGCTTCAAAAACAGGTACGAAAAAAAAAAACGGGAATATTGTGAACCCAGCCTTATCTCAGCTCCATTTCCATCAGTTTGCACAAGTAATGAACAGTCCGTAAACATTTTATTTTCCGGCAACAGAATTATGACGCATCGGAGCTTGGCACATTTGATTAGATTTCATTTATATTCCGCAGTTCCCCGTAATTTCAATGTAACAACCAATAAATTTAGCTGGAAGATGATCTTATAAACACATGGAGGTGATTAGATCCAGCTTATGGCTAATAAAGCAGTTTCATTGGAGCCAAGCAGAGGTCTCAAACACTGGATTTGTAATGTAATGTGTATGACTTTTCTTTGAACCGCGGTGTGTAGTTGCAATCAGGTGTTGGCCCTTGACGTGTGCATGAATTATGAGGTGAAGGCACTTTTCCTTTGTGTCTGCATGCTTTGCTTATGTACGGGGCACATGAGCACTGGTGTGTGTCACTTAATCTTTTCTCCTTTTTTTTTCTTTTCTGTTTTATATTTACTACGTCAGGCAACAAATGAATCATCTTTATTACAGAGAAATTTAATTTGGATGAACTTAACTGCTGCCGCCAAGGTCAGACGGGCAGAATGTCATTTTAATCCAATCAGCTTTAATCTGTTGGTTATAAAAGAGTTAGGCTGTTGAAGAATGGCTGTATCTCAGGCCCTTTATTACGCTGGCTAATGACTTTGATTGTGAGGCGCCTATCAAGAGGTTAGGAGTTCTTATGGAGCTTTACGTCCGGCTAATTCTCTAACTCATGCCAGTACTGGGTTCAGCTAAAACTTGGGCTTCTCAAAGTGTGGTGTGTGTGTATTGTGACGTGTTTGAGTAACAGACAAGCATGGTTTTTTGCACTAGTTTCTGCTTTGAAAACATGCTTTTTCATACCAAATTATCAATTAAATGTATTCTTGTATAGCCCTAAATCACAACCGTTGAATTTGCCAACACAGATTAGAGAATCAAACAGTTCAAAGAATAAAACAGAAAACATTGGTATTAGTACATAAGGGGAAGATAACCAATGTCCATATATGTTGATAAATGTCAAGCAGACTTTTGACAAATGTAAAATCAAATCAAGTGAATTAATTTTTAGCCACCGATTAACAACAGAAGTCGTAGGACCGCCATCTCCCGACTGAATGGGGACAGGTCCAGGACGACGAGTCCAGGTGTCGGGTCCCATCTTTGCCTCCATGAAACAGACAGAGAGACAGTGGGTGAATAGCTATGCACAGACTAATAGAATAAGTCAAACTGGATGCCAGAGAAGACGAGAGCAGAGCTATTCATCCTGATACCTTCGATGTTGGACGGGTAAAAAAAATAGAAAAAAAAGAAAATAATTATGAATGCCGGGAGCATCATGTATAGAAATGTATGTTTTAGACAAAAAGCATTAATAACAGCTGTGGGTGTAAGGTGAGTTTAGTGTTAGAGCCTCATCCCTTCAGTCTCTGAAAGACTATTTTTATTTACACTGGAACAAAAAAATAGGACCTTGATAGTATTTTTTTATAGTTGATTTATTTTTTGATATTTTACTTATTTGTATACCTCTTGAAATATGTTGTTTTTTCATATTAGTTAGAAAAAAATGTTTTACTAAGTAGTTAGTTTTTTTTCCCAAATAGGAATTCAAATAGGATTGGATTTGCATATTTAAACAGAACAGAAGAATTGTGCAAAGCAGAGCAGTAGATATATTAACACTATCTCAGTTCTAACACATTTGCATTCCGATTCTGTCATGGAAAGATAAACGTTAAAAGTTTAAGTTTTATAATGAAGGACATCCTTTAATGGAGTGAACGGCGAAAACTGCCAATGAGCCCTGCAGCGGTTTTGTTGTCGGGCCAAGACTTTTTTTGTCATAATCAAAAACACACTAATAACGGCAGATCCTTTGAAGTCGCTTTAATCTGTTTGTTACAGTTAAAGGCCACGTCGCTGTGCTTAATGCAACAAAGGAAAGGAAAGACAATGCTTCTATTATCATGGCATGAAACCACCGTGCACTGTCTATTATGAGATGAAAAGGATTTTATTACAATGCACAAATTCTTAGAGATGTGATTTTTGTTAAGCTATTATATTACATTAAAAGATGATTTTTAACTTGCTACAAAGTGCCGCCGTCTTTTTAAATTTTCTATTCACAGAAGCTGGTGATTGAAAGTGACCTGAAGGTTTACCAACAAAGCCATTTATATTCTGATGATGAGTACCTAAGTCAGCTAAAACAAAGAGAGCTACTTCAAAAGGTACATTTAGTACTTGTTTTGCATTCATATTTTCCCTTTTATTATGACACATTGTGCGTGTTTTGACAGTGTTTTGTGTGTGTTTGCGTGTGTGTGGTAGCGCTGTGCAGAGCAGGTGGAGCAACTCGCCGAGTGTGAAAAGGCTATTCTTCAGATGAAGTCAGCGCTGGAGCGACAGTAATAACAGAGTCTATAAAACTCTCATTCTCCTTCGCTCGTCTTGGATTGTGTCCTTGTCTCTCCTCCTTGCCCTTCCCTTTCGCCTCCACCCTCTTCTCAACTCGAACAATCTATTGTACAACTCAAGCAAAAGTGTTCACTCTATGCATTTTCATTCTTTTAGCTTGCTTGTTATGCAGTTTATTTATTGGTTTTGTGCGTTTATAGTTTCTTTTTGTGCGTCCCACTCACAGAGCTGAAAAAAAGGTGGATGCGCAGAAACGCTGTGTGGCGTTGCAGCTCGAACACCTCCACAGTCGCAGGCAGCATGAACAGGAAGCTGATCGACTCAAACAGGAAGTGAGTCGTCTAGAGCTGGAGCTGGCTGAGACCCACCAAGTAATGAGTTTAAATCTGCTTTTCTCATTTTGCTCTTTGACACGCTTGGGTCTTTTCTAATTCTAACTGCACCACACATTGTTTCTATGAGACTCAACACAAGAACTTTGTCTGGAGCTGTTGCCAAACTCTTAAGCACAAGTATCCAATCCACCTCCACACCCTGCACTTGTGTGATTGTCCCATGATTGCCGGCAGAAAACAAATTGCTTTGCCATTAATTAAAGCACCAAACGGAGCCAAGGCTGGTGAAATTGACTCCAATTAAGAGCTCAATGGGACACTAAATATTCAAATTACTCAAAGTGGTGACTGTAGCCTGGCAAAGTGCCAATTCTGCTGGCAGTCATAGTCAAATAACTCAGTGTGTATGTGTGGCCTTGTTACTGCAGTGGAAGTGGGAGCGTTTGATTTTATTCATAATTTGTGTGTCCTCTAGCACGCACAAGTGAGATACATGTGACACACCTGCTCTCTGGCATATCGCAAACACACACACGTGTATTCTTCAACAGCTGTCAGGACGTGTCCATTCATTTAGCCTCGTCCCTCTGGAATACTGGTAATGACTGTGTCATGTTCCAAGTCAAGTACTGACATATGTAGCAAAGCTACTTTTACATTTCTTACATTCATTATGCATATGTCCTTTATTAATCTTTGTCATTATGCACATAATGCATAATTTAATGTTTAATAATGCAGGGCTTTCAGGTTTAGACACATTAAGTCTGAGGTCACTGCTTTTGTTGGAGAGTAGAATCAGAAATAAATTATAACAATTATCACAAATTGTTTATTATACAGTATGGTGTAGAAGTGGAAAGTATTTCATTTGAAAAATAGACGTAAAAAATGTCTAGACTGCACTCAACACATAATTTGAAACATATAATTGTAAAAAATGGTTAGATAAATACAATTGATACAATAACAGACCATGGATAAAATACAGCATTATCTACTAGTCTCAGAGAACTTTTATTCATAAATGGCACATTTGAGGCTCATTTGAAGTTAGTTTGTGGATTACTCTCTCATTCAAAGTTGTATGAATACTGACAGACTTAACCTCGGTTGCAGGTGCATGTGACTCTGCTGAAGTCAGAGGGAGAGCTGCGAGACGCCCGGCACGAGGTGCAGAGGCTCACTGAGGAGCTGCTGAAGGAGGAGCAGAGCAGGAGAAGTGCCCTGAAAGACAAACACAAGCTCAATACATACATCTGCAAGCTGAGGAAGGAACGGGACGAGCTGCTCATGAAGCACCAGGTCACAGGTACCAAGCCTTGAATATATCTACATCATCATTCTACATCATCATGCACTGTCCACCACTTTTCTACGTCCTTTCCTAGAGTCCCAGTTTAGATTCTTCATTTATATTTGAGGGCAGCTATTATTTTTTATTCTAGTTACTATCAACTTTCATTCACTACAGGTGACCTGTGTCCTGTGTCATTGAAAACATTGAGAGAGAAATCACTGAATTGTGATACCCTGAGTTACCTCTTTAAAGGAGACATAACACACAGGCTTTTTCTGTGATCTGTCATCTATGATACATGTGGCAAAAGCCGACATATTTTCTTGATTCCAATAAATTGTATATATTCTTTCTCCCTGGCATATCCAAGCTATTGTGCCGGGATGTGGGGAAACAATATAAAATCGCAACTTTACAACTCACAAAATAAAACTATAAGATAATATCATGAATCATGTTATCTATTTTAGACCATACACACATTGTTTGTAGTTCATAAAGACCTGGTGAACTTCCATGCAGCACAGTTCAGTGGATTTTATCACCAATAAATATACAAAAAAAACTTTCCATCAGCGTTTACAGCCTGAGGAACAGGGTCAACACAAATATTTCTCCCAAATATCACCACAATGACAATTTTTTGTATTTCAATTTCTGGTGTCAAATAATGGATTAACTTGAGTCTGGCAGCACGGTTGCACAGTGGTCAGCGCTTGTGCTTCATAGCAAGAAGGTCCTTGGTTTGATTCCACCTCCAGACCTTTCTGTGTGGAGTTTGCATGTTCTTTCCGTGTCTGCGTAAGTTACCTCCAGGTGCTCCGGTTTTCCCTACCACTAAAAACATGTATAATAGGTCTGGCATGCACCTGAGTAGAATGACAATTACTTTTAAATTGAATGCTAACCTACCACAATGTGTGTGCAAGGAGCAATACAGAATGTTGTGAGATTGTTGCTTGTAGTAGTTGTGCTTACTGTTGTTTGAAATAAATCTATGTGAGACACGTCGGCGCACTTCCTCCTTCAGACCCGCTGTATGACTTTGAGACTTTGGTCACATCAAAGGCTCTGCTCCACCACGGATCAAGTTGTGAGGCGTGGATATTTTATTCCTTTGAGCAACAATGCTGGCAAACCATCTGAATATATTATAACAAGGGAAAACAACTATAACATGGTCAAAAGCTGAGAAAAGTAGTAGATAGTTTTTATGTTTCCTTTAAATCTGGAGTAAAAGTTAAAATGTTGGTAGGAATCGAACTGCAATATTTTCAACTTAACAAAACGTGATTAAGATTGGATGCTTGGGGCTTAGAGCTGATTGGCTGAGTGAGGGTGGTCTTCTCTTCTCGGATCTAAAAATGCCCAAGTAATCATGCATATGAAAACTGGCGATTGAAACAAACTATTTTGAGAGCAAGGAACGTGTTGGATAGATTCTTACATCGTTCATTTGTTTTTCTTTCCTACTCTGTTTGTATCTGAACTGAAAACAAGATGATCATGTCCAAACCGGTGTCTTGTTTTGTTAAAGTAGCATCCCAAATGATAATGATAGACATATGCTGTATAAATATATTGTTAGGGACTCAGAGAAACAAGCAGGTAACTGGACGTGTCTTGGCTTGTATTGGAACATGTGACCTGCAGTGACTATCACGCCTGCTGTTAGCTCTGCCAGTTAGAATGGTTTTTTTAGCCTCCTCTGGTAATATAGGTTTGATTTAATAGCACGCTGCTTTAGCTGTATGGTAATGATGTCATTTATGTATGTGTGAGTGGACAACAGTGGCCTTTGTAGCGAAGCATATCCAGTGCAGGAACGGTGATGGCTCGGTCTCTCCGGGCACAGAAATGTCTCATTAAGAATTAACGTACACATCTATGGTCACGGTGGACACACATCTCACACACACACACACACGCGCGCAAGTATCCAGTGGCTCGACTCCCTCCGCTTTAATTAGCACATACACACTGTCCCTGTGAGGTACAAACACGCACACACAACCACCTATTGTCCGCGGAGAGATGAATCTGAGGTCTCTCTCGGTGGCAGACAGTGGCTGGCTTCTGCGCTCAACAGTGCTCATTAACAAGATAGAGACAGAAGGACAACGCAGTGTAGCTTGGCCTTTGTCTGTGATCAAAACGCATTCCCTCAACTCTATGCTCCACACAAAACCACATATTATTCAGCCGTTACCTTCGGCAAATACAATCTAGCAATGCAGTACCCATTGTGACGACTTAAGAAGAATAAAGATGCATTATTATAACAAAGGAGACATTGTTTACCTGGATCTAGCAGTAGTTTGAATGGAATGGGTGAGGAGTCAGTTGAAGAATTGCTGTCATGAACAAAAGGCCTTTTATAAGCACAACGCCCTTTTGGAGGGTTCTTTTTGCCTTGCGAAAATTTTACTTTGAGTGTTGATGATTCTTCTTGAAAACATCTCAATTCAGCATCAAGTGGAATGTGGAAGTAAACAAGGGGATATAGACATATACTGTAGGTGGCTCTGACTGAGTTTAGATTTTAGAGGCCTGCTTTAATTCACTGCTATCATGACACATGGGCTTCACATAAGTGCCACAGTGCTCACATTCTGTCCAATTACACTGACTTTATTACGTTAACTCCAAACGGGATGTTTTAATGACTGACGGAACATTCCAAGGTTGTGGAACTAAGGCAGCATTCTCTATAACATTTTTTTTCCTCCTACCAATGTAGATGGACTCAGAGTTGAAAAATCGTTGCCAATTGCTCATGAAGTACATGAATAATTTAATATAGTGGTATTTGTGTATGCTCTCTGGATATTCACTGCTGTTTTTGCAGATATTACCTCCACCATGGGGTATTGTTATCACCAGGGGTTGATTGTCTGTCTCTTTGTTAGTTATCTAGAAAACTCAAAAAGTTGTGGATGGATTTGCAAGAGTTGCTTATTGAAGCTCGAAAGTGGGACCAGGAACAAATGATTCCACTTTGGATGTGATCCAGATTTTAAAGGAATGAAACTGTGTGTCTAGGCGGAAGTCTGTTGAGTTTTTATAGAGTATTTTTTACTTATGCTGTCTAAACATTACTATAGATAAAACAAAACATTTACATAGAGTGTTGTTCTTTGTTTAGTTTAACATACTAAAAACTGAAATGCCACATATAAAATAACACTTATATATCACTCAGCAAAATACTTCATGCTTCCTTGTTTGACCATTGTCGACTGGTACAAGTTAAAGCAGCGTCTTATTCATATGTAAGTGTGGATCAGTATCTGCCGTTCTGATTATCTTTAATAACAGAGCCTATCGATAGCTCTAGATAGTGCTTCTAGTGCACGCAATGCGGAGGGCGCTCGCTGTGGCCTGTGCTGTACACACGTCTGTCAAGTGTCAAGCACAAAGACAAGGGCAAGAATCAGGGGAAGTGTCATGAGAGAATCCTGAGGCGTCCAGATGCAGCTGGATTCAATCAGAGCGAGTCAGGAGCCGTGACAAGAGCTGAAGAACAGGGTGATTAAAACTCAAGTGAAAGTAGGTTCTTCAAGTTTACCTATGACTCAATCTGTCACATTCTGTCACTCTTAAATAAAAAATTTTCTTTAAAGACGAGCACTGTTCTGTTGGAAAATTATTGATGGTTTAGTGTAAATTGTGTGCCGAGATTAATTTCACATACTTTCATTTGTGTAGACGCGATTCAAAGACAAAGATATTTTATTTTCCAACATATTCTCTGCTATTTGAGCAACAAGACATACCACCATTTCCACAAAGTATTATGCGTAGGATGCAGCTTTAATAGCGGTTCATTTTTTTGTTTTATCACGTCAATAAACCGTCTTATAGTTGTCTATTATTTCATTGGGTTTAAAAATGCTTCTTTTATGTTGTCAGATGTCAATGTAAATGACAGAGCTTTAAAATATTCAGATGACATTTTAGTCAAAGTCATTGCGCATCTTTGTCAAACGCCGTGTGAGGCTGGCCTTGATGTAAAATGAATGTGATAACTGCGCAGAAACAACTGAAACAAGTACATAAACAAAAAGCTAATATCCATATTTCCTCCGACAGAACAGAAATGTGATATAAGCACCCCCTGCGCCGCTGATGTGCATCTGCCTAAAGACGATGAAGTCATTATCCTGTACAGCTCCATGTGCACTGTACTAATGCACGTGGGTGGAGGTGTGTGTGTGTGTGTGTGTGTGTGTGCGCGCAATTCCTGGACACACACACGCGCGCACGCACAGGCCGCTCTCTTCCAATTCACCTCTATTACTAGCTATAATCCCATTTCACACTCTATCGATCCCCAAAACTGTTGTTCACCGGAACCAGCAGCAAACACTGGCATTTCTCCCCATCATTTCACAAGCATTGTTCTTTATTACACAAAGAAGCCCCCCCCCCCCCTACCCCTTTTCCCCCTCGTTTTCGTCTTAGAGCAAACTCAAGCCCACTGAAATATGAATTATAAATGTATGGCTAATAAAAGAGAAGGAGGGAAAGAGGGAAGAGAGACAGAGATAGAGAGAAGGGGTTGGTAGAAACATCAGAGAAAATGACTCCTTTACAAGAGTCTATTGATCAGTTTCTATCAAAGGGGGATGTCAGACATGAGATTACCTGGCAGTTTGAGCATTAGGTGCCGTGTGTTATAGCCCCGGGCCCTTGTACTGCTGCCAGAGGATTGTAAATAAAGCAAAGAAGAGGAGAGAGCAAGAGGGGAGTGTGTTGGGGTTGCGCGTACCACTTTTTGATTCCATGTGTGCGTGAGTCTTTGTTTTTTTTTTTTCTTCCTCAGCCCGCCTCTGTTGTGTTGCTTTATTTTTATTCGTGATGATGTGCGGGCGTCTGTGCTCCTACACCTTTTGGCTCCTACCCAAAAGCAAGTGTTGCAAGTCCACAAAACTTCAGAAGGCGAGAGAGCGAGTCGAGGGAGGCTACGGGACGTCTCAGAGGAGCACCTTAGCCTGCTTACCAATCCCCCAACAAAGCCAAAGGAAACCCCTGTGAAGCCGTGCGGAGCTGTTACAGGGGCCGAGGCGGGACCCAGCCGAGCCCCAACCACTGATTTAGGGTTAGCCAGGTTTTCATCCTTCTCATGTTAAAGGTTAGCTGTGAGAGTGGGCTAATCTGACTCCAGATCAGTGATTATAGGCCTGATAATGTATGAAGCGCTTTGAAACCACTGCCAATGTATTGAGGGGGACAGGCCGAGTAAGATTATGGACTGATGTTGCACCTCAAGTTGAGAATCTGCTTTAAACGAGGAAAGAAAGTCAAAGTGGCAGTTCAGGATTTGAGATGAGTCTGAGCCATAAAGGGATGTTTAAACATAAGCTGGCCAATGTTTCAGTTGTATAATCCTGTTATTAAAAACATACTATTATACATATGGTGTTATACAATCAGTTTTGTATAACACTATGCTATAGACATGGAACCCTGTATAGGTTATACTCAATGACATCACAATACAATGTGATGTAAAAGTTCAAATCACAAATTGAGTTGTTTATTCTGTCTTTTTTATCCGTGGAATAATTTCCATTCAGGACTTCTGTGGGGTCAATGTACATGCTGCAGTGACCACTTAAGTTCCGGGACCCCAGTTTGAGAACTGACAGATGTTAAGCCCTACTCTACAAAAGTCATTAACATATAAGATGGAATCAAGTCGTTTTTATCTTGATTCAAGATAAAGAAAAAAATGACAATCCTTCCAAGTGATAAAACAATACATGCAAGATGAAAAATCTTGTTTTAAGGCTGAAAGATTTTACTGAAATCAAGATCAATTGAACCTAATTCAAGATTTTTAGCCTTTTTTGCCTTGCGTTGTTAAGCACTGGGCCTATTTATTTAAAACATTGTGAATGTTGTTTTGAACAGGTTGTACACTTTTATTTTATAATCTAAACTAATACATTTTAAGAAATGTTCATCCACTTTTCTTTTGTATTCCCAAAACATTATAAAAGAAAATATTTTTAATGAGATCTATTTGTAATCTAATTCTAAAGGTTATAATTTTTGCAACAAGATTTCAATGTAAGGATTTGTGTTGCCTTCTGCATACTTAAACTACAGTACATAAGTGAAATACTAAAAAAGTTAAATATTCACAATATTCTAACTTTCGGACACATTATCGCAGCCCTCCCCTGATCGACTTCACCCACCCCAGCAGTCTGTGTGTGCCCTTGTCTGCTCCTTTTACTATGTGTGTTTTAGCATAAAAGTCCCCATATTCTAGGTCACAGAGGCAGCAGTCTACATTTCCACTTAATTTTATACTGCTGTCTGAGTGCGTGTGCCTACCTTTTGCCCGTGTGTATAGCCGGTCAGTGCATGCTGCTAATTGCCTCCCCTGGTGGGCGGTGTCACTGGGGTCACCTCAATCTAATGCCCTAAATGTGAATTTGATCCACCTCTCAAGTTTTCACATCTCCCCTGTATTGATTATTGAGATACATGGCAAACTCTCACCTTGAGGTTGAGAAAAAGCCAAGGTAGGGCAGTCCACACACAAATAAAGTGTTTGTGCATCGTTAAATATTTATCACATACTTCAATTTTCCTTGGGCTTCAGTTTAAACAGTTTGAATGCAGCATAGACATAAATTAATCATGGTTTCAATACATGTAGATTTTATTTTTTCTATTCTTCTGCTTCAGGTATTGGTTTTTAAGCTTCCTTTATTCAATCTGTCCAAGCACATTCCCCACAACATGGTGCACCTCTAAAAGCATTACAGCAAAACTCTTAACATTTCTGTATTTTTATTTCACACACTCCACGCGCAACAAAGCCAAGGTCCGGCCCGTAAATATTCAACACACCTACATATTCAGTGTGCACTTCTCAATATTCACTCGCCATGGCCACCGATGGCTGACAGTTTATGTTATATTCAATGAATACTGAATTTGGTGAAAAGGTTTTAAGAGCTATGAAGAGACATTGACTCACAAAACAGCACAGACCAGAGAAGGGAAGAGGGTGGGGGACCAAATTTTACATTTAAAATTTAACCTGAAAAAGGGGCCACCAAAGCAAACCAAACCAAGAAACCTGACCAGCGTTTATTATGCATCCCCTCAATGTGCTAAAGCATTAAGTGTAGGACAATGGGGTTTTATTGCATGTAGATGGAACGGACGGCTGAAAAGGCAGTGTGATTGAGGGACCAAAGTCAACGGTATGAACTCAAGTAGCCTGCTCAAGGTAAAGAGTGCCATCTATTGACTAAGCCAGGAAATGCTTCTTTTGTCTCCCAACAAAAGAGCTGCTGCTGCTGCCAGGCCTGGGCGCAGAGCAGTGCGATGCGCGTCCTCCTTCCTCCATCGCCCCTGAAAGCCTTTCACAGCTGCCTCTGTAGCCTACTTTCTTTGGTTTTTCTTTGAAGGCAACTCGCTGTTAATATTTTCCCATGCTGAACTTGAACAGAATCAATAATCACCTATGTGTCTGCGTGTTTTGTTAATCATTCTATTAACCTTGGTCCAATGCAGGATGCAGAGTGTAGTGTCCACCTTATATTTACATATATACATTTCTTTGAATACAATAAACGACGATGTCTCCTCAGCCTTCAAGAGTTAACCCCTTGCCCAGTTTTAACAATAGCACAAATGCAAGGTTGTTTTCTTATGTTTGTGTAGAGAGAATTTAAATATGACTAATTTTGAATAGATTCGAAACAAGACTGCAGCAAACTGTTGCAGTTTTTTTTCTTTTTCTTTTTTTTTTCAAGTTTACACTTTTTAACTTCTTTTCTTCTCATCCTGTCTTTGCTTAGTGGAGGAGTTGGCAGCCCGTGCAGAGGAGGCGAGGCGGTTTGAGGGCTGCCTGAATAAGGAAAAGCTAGCAGAGGAGAAAATAAGGTAAGAAAAGGCAGGGATTGAAGCTCTCTGCCTGTTATCCCATTGTCCCCAGTGGGAGCGTTATAATCAAAAACATTTAGATTTTTCACTGGCGTACAGTAGGCCGTTTAACTCAACATGTGTTCAACAGATCAGCCCCTTTAAAATCCAAACCATGCAAAGGAATAATACCGATGAAAACTCCCATATTTTTCTGATATTAGTTGATGTGAATGCCGTTATCGTGACCGGCATGTACAGCCCTTTAAAGACTTTCCCAGAAGATTTATCGCCTGAACGCAGATGCTATGGGTCCCGCGGTTCAAAGTTCACGGCTAGGACCTCTCGTTGACCTCTCTGTGTCACCGAGGCTGTGGCGATGACATAAGCTTGAACGTCTCACCCAGTTTGAGTGCCTACTTTTTTTTTGTTTTTCGTTGTTTTGCATACTTGCGGTTTGCGGTTTGGGCCTCATGAGTTCACTGCCGGCAAGTTTTTTTTCTTCTTCTTCTTTTTTAGGGAGTTTCTCGGTTAAGTTTGAACCATGGAACATTTTTACCCGCAACCCGGCAATTTAGGACTTGGCGTGCTCCGAAGTTTTATAGCCTCTTTTCGCAATGATTTGCTTTTATGACATTTCAGCTAATTTTAAGTGGTTAAACAATAGTCAAGTCTGCATAATACATCTCTGCGTTTGCTGTTTAATGGGTATTATCTAATAAGTGCAAAGACATAAAGGGTTTTTAGGCAACAACACCACACTGATGGCTTCCATGTGTGCACTGGGAAATCCCCATATTTCCACAGGATGCCTCGACTTTTTCACCGCCTTCTCTCCACAGCTCTGTCCATCCTATCATGTTCGGTCTCTATGGCCCTATCTATCAGACATATTCTTTCCTCTTCACTTTCGCAGCTACAATCTCAGCTTTTACGACCGCTGAGCTCTCCTTTTGTTCTGGCTTCATTTAGTTTATTGTTAAAACATGTATCCAGCGCACTGTTGTAATTTATGTGATTTTCTGCAATAGATTTAACTATTAAGGACTACAATGTACAACATGATTTCAGACAATAGCTCATATAATTTTAACAAGCCTTCCTGTTTTTTCATTGTGTTACCTTCACCTTCTTCTCATTAGCACTCAAAATATACTTCAATTATTAATTAAAGGTGTTTGATATGTGTTTTTAATAGGTATTTTTGGATTTCAACTTTAATTAATGTTTCAACAAATAATAAGCCAATTAACATTCATGGCTTACTTGTTTGAAAAAAGTGTGCAAGCTTGTTCAAGGCCCAAATTGTTGAACTATTCATAAACTTCTAATTTTTACATTTCTTATTGGAGCTATAGGTCAGCGGTGGGGGTGGTTTGTTTTGCTGGCTGTATAAATATATATAAACGTACACAGTTTGTTGGTGTGCATGCGTGTGTGAAGGGGATGTCGAGGCTCACTGAGACTGTGCAGGGAGGTTTGTGGAAATGGTAATCATTTGTCGTATTGATCCGGCTGTAGCCAGGGCAGCCCCGCACGCACACCCCGGCCCGCGAGCGCGCGCACACACACTCGCAGAGCCCAGGCGCAGAGGCGCGCAGTTGCGTGGCAGGAATAGACCCTTTTATATTGATCCCCTTCACATTCCCTTAGCTGGCCTGCCACACACACACTTACACGCACATGCTTACACTTTCGGGTCCCACACGGAGTCCCACAGCACCACATTTTCTCTGTATTGATGGGTAAATTATATGCTTAAATCCATTTGTTTTTACCTATGCATTATTGAAGATATTTGCAGTTTTAGGCACGCTGGAAGCAAGTTTAAATAGTTGGATAAGCAGTATTTATTATCCTGCTTTATTTACTCATTCGCATCATCGTGCTTTGACCACATAACGTATACATTGATTACACATCGTCCATGTAGAAGTATATATGTATTTTATATGTATGTACACATATATTAATGAAGATAACAAAAACTGAATGTTTTTGTATTGATGGGTATATTTGAGTCCTAAATGAATGACTGTGACTGTTATTATGTTATTTATGCATTATTAAACAGATGTACAGTTACTGGAGGAGCTGGAAGAGTAAACAGTGGCATGAACAGTGAATAGATCTTATACTCCTAACGTTTTTTTTTTACTCATACACTGTATATACACATCTGGCTTTGATCACATAACATATGCATTGATTCTATACTGAGTCTATGTTGACATTTCTGTTTCAAATAAGATGTTTTTGAATCAGAATTTGTCTGCATTTAAATAAAAATAGTCCCTGAGCAGTCCCTGAACCTGTACATAGTCTGGGTACTTAGTATCCTTTGTTTAGTTCATGTTTTTGTGTGTGTTTTGTGTTCATGTTTTCTGTAACATCAACATGCCAGGCGTTCTGCAGATATCAAATTAGAAAATAATCTGGCATATTTACATTTTCTGAATGTTCATTAATATTCATTGTTCCTCCTGTATCTCACAGATAATTAATGAAGTATAAATACAAATATAGTTCGGCTCCTCACACTCTTTAGGCCTTGATTGGTAAATGAAATACAGTCAGTGTGGTTGTTACTAGCTTATGGTAAAAAAACTATATAAAAGTGTTTGTTTGCGTCCTGCAGGTCAGTGCTGAGGCTGGAGAGGAAGCTTCAGGAGGCTGTCGATCTCAAACTAAAAGCACAAACAGAGAAACAGGAAACAAACAAGCAGGTAAACAACTGCGGTACAGACACACCAACATATGAGCTGTGGGCTTCAATATTTAAACATGTATAGAACAGTGGGGGAAACAATTATGGATAAGTCATTCGATTATAAAATGACAAGTTCTAAAAATGAAAGCAACCATCACATTATGGCAAAGTGAAGCACATACAGTTATGGATGTAAGAATTATTATTACTCCCCCCTTGGACTGCCACCTTAACGTGGTGGGGGAGTTTGAGCACTCGGATGATCCTGGGAGCTATGCTGTCTGGGGCTTCATGCCCCTGGTAGGGTCTCCCATGGCAGACAGGTCTCAAGTGACGAGTCAGACGAAGCGCAGTCCGAAGCCAACCATGGACAGCACGACAACGAAAACCGTGACGTCGCCCGGCATGGCGCAGCCGGGGCCCCACCCTGGAGCCAGGCCTGGGGTCGGGGCTCGCAAGCGAGCGCCTGGTGGCCGGGCCTTAGCCCACGGGGCCCGGCCGGGCCCAGCCCGAAGGGATGACGTGGGCAGTCCCTCCTGTGGGCTCACCACCTGCAGAGGGGTCCGTGGTGGCGAGGTGCAGAGAGGACTGGGCAGCAGTCGAAGGCGGAGACCTCGACGACCCAGTCCACACACCCAACATCTGGCTCTTGGGACATGGAACGTCACCTCACTGGGGGGGAAGGAGCCCGAGCTTGTGGGGGAGGTTGAGCGATAACGACTAGAGATAGTCGGCCTCACCTCCACACACAGCTTGGGCTCTGGAACCCAACTCCTTGAGAGGGGTTGGACGCTCCACTTTTCTGGTGTTTCCCGCGGGGAGAGGCGGCGAGCTGGGGTGGCCATACTCATTGCCCCCCATCTCAGCCGCCACATGTTGGAGTTCTCCCCGGTGAATGAGAGGGTCGCGTCCCTCCGTCTCCGGGTGGGGGACAAGTCTCTCACTGTTGTGACGGCCTACGGGCCTAACGGTAGTGCAGAGTACCCGGCCTTCTTGGAGTCCTTGGGAGGGGTACTGGACAGTGCACCGCCCGGGGACTCCGTTATTCTCCTGGGGGACTTCAACGCCCATGTGGGAAATGCCAGTGACACTTGGAGAGGGGTGATCGGGAAGAGCGGCCCCCCTGATCTGAACCCGAGCGGTGTTCAGTTGTTGGACTTCTGTGCCAGTCACGGCCTGTCCATCACGAACACCATGTTCGAGCACAAGGGTGTCCATCAGTGCACGTGGCACCAGGACACCCTAGGCCGGAGGTCGATGATCGACTTTGTAGTCGTATCATCTGACCTTCGACCGCGTGTCTCGGACACTCGGGTGAAGAGAGGGGCGGAGCTGTCAACCGATCATCACCTGGTCGTGAGTTGGATCCGCTGGCAGGGCAGGAGGCCGGTCAGACCTGGCAGGCCCAAGCGTGTAGTGAGGGTTTGCTGGGAACGTCTTGGTGAGCCCCCTGTCAGACGGACTTTCAACTCACACCTCCGGGAGAGCTTCTCCCAGGTCCCGGCAGAGGAGGGGGACATCGAGTCCGAGTGGACCATGTTCTCTTCCTCTATCGCCAATGCGGCGGCTCGTAGCTGTGGTCGCAAGGTCTCTGGTGCTGGTCCCGGCGGCAATCCCCGAACCCGGTGGTGGACACCGGCAGTAAGGGATGCCGTCAGGCTGAAGAAGGAGTCCTATCGAGCAATGATGGTTCGTGGGACTCCTGAGGCAGCTGTCCAGTACCGGCAGGCCAAACGTGCCGCGGCCCGGGCTGTTTCAGAGGCAAAAACCCGAGACTGGGAGGAGTTCGGAGAGTCCATGGAGCATGACTATCGGTCGGCCTCGAAGAGGTTCTGGCAAACCGTCCGGCGCCTCAGGAGGGGGAAGCAGTTCTTTGCCAACACCGTGTATGGTGCGGGTGGAGGGCTGCTGACCTCGACTGGGGATATTGTCGGGCGGTGGAAGGAATACTTCGAGGTTCTCCTCAATCCCCCCGTCACGTCCTCCGTCCAGGAGGCAGAGGCTGAGGATGTTGGGGCGGATACTTCCATCTCCCTGGCCGAGGTCACCAAGGTGGTTGGCAGCCTCCATGGTGGCAAGGCGCCGGGAGTGGATGAGATCCGTCCTGACTATCTAAAGTCTCTGGATGTTGTTGTAGGACTGTCTTGGCTGACACGTCTCTGCAGCATCGCGTGGCGATCGGGGGCGGTGCCAATGGAGTGGCAGACCGGGGTGGTGGTCCCTCTCTACAAGAAGGGGGGCCGGAGGGTGTGTTCCAATTATCGTGGGATCACACTCCTCAGCCTCCCCGGTAAGGTCTACTCCAAGGTACTGGAGAGGAGGCTACGTCCGATGGTCGAATCTCGGATTCAGGAGGAGCAGTGTGGTTTTCGTCCCGGTCGCGGAACACTGGACCAGCTCTATACTCTCCATCGGATACTCGGGGGTTCATGGGAGTTCGCCCAACCTGTCCACATGTGCTTTGTGGATTTGGAGAAGGCGTTCGACCGTGTTCCCCGGGGTGTCCTTTGGGGGGTCCTCCGGGAGTACGGGGTCCGGGGTCCTCTGCTGAGGGCTGTTCGGTCCCTGTATGACCGGAGCCAGAGCTGTGTTCGCATTGCCGGCAGTAAGTCAGACCTGTTCCCGGTGCATGTTGGCCTCCGCCAAGGCTGCCCTTTGTCACCGGTTCTGTTCACTGTATTTATGGACAGAATCTCTAGGCGCAGCCAGGGGCCGGAGGGGGTCCGGTTCGGGAACCACAGGATTTCATCTCTACTTTTTGCGGATGATGTCGTCCTGCTGGCTCCAACGAACCAGGACCTGCAACATGCACTGGGACGGTTTGCAGCCGAGTGTGAAGCGGCTGGGATGAGAATCAGCACCTCCAAATCCGAGGCCATGGTGCTCGACCGGAAAAAGGTGCCTTGCCCTCTCCAGGTGGGTGGAGAGGTCCTTCCTCAAGTGGAGGAGTTCAAGTATCTCGGGGTCTTGTTCACGAGTGAGGGGAGGATGGAGCGTGAGATTGACAGGCGGATCGGTGCAGCGTGCGCAGTGATGCGGTCTCTGTATCGGACCGTTGTGGTAAAGAGGGAGCTGAGCCGAAAGGCAAAGCTCTCAATTTACCGGTCAATCTTCGTTCCCTCCCTCACCTATGGTCATGAGCTGTGGGTAATGACCGAAAGAACGAGATCGCGGATACAAGCGGTCGAAATGAGCTTCCTCCGCAGAGTGGCTGGGCGCTCCCTTAGAGATAGGGTGAGGAGCTCGGTCACACGGGAGGAGCTCGGAGTAGAGCCGCTGCTTCTCCACGTCGAGAGGAACCAGTTGAGGTGGCTCGGGCATCTGTTCAGGATGCCTCCTGGACGCCTTCCTGGGGAGGTGTTCCGGGCACGTCCCACCGGGAGGAGGCCCCGGGGAAGACCCAGGACACGCTGGAGAGACTATGTCTCTCAGCTGGCCTGGGAACGCCTAGGGGTCCCCCCGGACGAGCTGGAGGAGGTGTGTGTGGATAGGGAAGTCTGGGCGTCTCTGCTTAGACTGCTGCCCCCGCGACCCGGCAACGGATAAAGCGGAAGAAAATGGATGGATGGATGGAATTATTATTATCAACCGTAACATTTGAAATTGTCCCTATACATATACAGTGTGTGTTTTATGAATCGAAACCCACACTCAGTTGAGATTGTGGCTCAGATGGAAGAGTGAAGGACACATGCCTCTTTTCATTCACCACTTCACCTGCCTTTGTGTGAATATGTGAGCGCTTAGTGATGGCCCAGAATTCCCAATGACTCTGAGAATAGCAGCCGTAAACTCCAGAAGTATCACGACTACAATCAAACGTGGTGAACAAATAATATTCTGTCAGTGTAAAAGCGCACTGCGGAGCTCCTTCTGGCCAGTATTGCTTTTGCTATAATGCATTTCTTAATAAAACGCTATGATTGCATTTTTATCCACCTAAAAATGATATTACTTGCAATCAAAAAGGATCTTAAAGTTAAAGAGGAAGTCAGATTAAAAGTTAAGCAACTATATAATACAATGGCTATACCTTGCATTGTCATTCAGATGTCATTGTGTAATAAAAATTGCTTTAATTTCCCCGTTCTTTCGGCCGGCTCCATAGACATGTATAAAGGTGTGTTGTTCTCGCTTCTCCAAGGTCTCCCTCACCTCCCTCCCGTACCTTTTTGATGATTAGTGGCATATATCCAGCGCTAGAGCCTGGATTATCTTGTCCAAATGGGGGGAGGAGGGGAGCGGCGTTACGAGAACCTAAACCTGGCAAGGTGATTGGGAGCATTAATTCCGGGGTGTAATATTCCCTGTTATTCCCTAATGTTCGGGTTGGGATAGGGGTTTGTCAGTGGTGCAGCTGATGGGGAAGGGGGGCAGCTCTCCCGGGGGAGTGGACTTGTCAGAGCTGAGCCGCCGCTGTACAAAGGCAGAATGGATAATTAAGGGTAAAGCCAGGACGGCAAGTGATGTTCATTTAGATTCGACAAACTTTGAATTCTGTCCCAAGCTTCACTGCGGTGCAATGGTGCTCTTTCCACTCGGATCTTGATTTTGCATTTTGTTCAATTCCGTCTTAAAGTTGGTTCCGCTTCCCTCTCACCCTGACGCTCATGTTTTTTTTTCTCCAGTCTTTTTACTCCATGTGTCCTCCACTCCCTCACCTTACTTTTTTGTCTTTTCTGTCGGGCCTTGTGAATAATGCATGGCACATCACACTGCTCCCCCTCACATTAGTGCAGTAGGGTTTGACATCAGTGATTACCCAGGGCCAGTAGACAGACCGACTTTAGCCAGTTAGGTAGCCAAGTAGCCAAGACAGTGCTTTCAAAAAGATTTCTTCATCTCCAGTATTTCTCAGCTGTGGAAAAGTGCTCGCTTTCATCTTTGGGCCTTTTTGCTAGAGCCATCTTGCCTTGGTCGTACATTTCATGATCAAACAATGATGTCAGAGATGTTTCTGTCGAGACTGAGTCATGCAGTTAGAGACATGCTACAGTTTACAGCAGCGACATTCCA